AGCTCACTGAAATATGGCAAAAGTTATCAAACAAAACGGGCAATATATCATTGATTGGTCTTTGTTCTTTATATAAATAAATGACCTTTGAAAAACAGAAAGAATACGTCATGACTTTTCTGACAACTCAATATCTTCCAGGCCTAATTCTCTCTTCAACTGTGTCTAATTTGCGGCTTAAATGGCCATAGAAAACATAAGAAAACATACTTTGTAATGCTCAGCTCTACAACGACTGAACAAATATATGATTAAGACACTAATTCTCAACTCAAGAACTTCATATCTAGTAGACTAACCAGACATAGGAAAATAAAATTGTATTACACTGTAATAAAAGCAGAATTCAAGGCATCTTTAGGAATTGCCAAAGGAAACATAAAGAATGACTAAATATGCTGAGGGAAAGAATTCATAGAGGAGGTCACCTCTTACTTAGGGTCAAAGAATCAATTTTCTAGGGGGAGACTATATGGAAAGGTACCCAAGTAGGTGGCCCAGCATGTCCAAAATCATGAATGTTTAGGGAACAATAAAGAATTAAGTGCAACTATTATGTGGATACATCGGTAAAGAGTGGTAAAAGATGCTGGATAGTCAGTTAAAGCTAGTTAGGAACCTTGTGTACCATATATGAAGTGTTTACAGTTTATTCTGTTGACAATGGGGAAGCAACAGAGGTGTTGAATAGGGCATAAGTGACAGGAGAAACGAGAAACAGAAGAAGGGAGGGAGGGAGATAGATATGAATTTGGGAAATTCCTGTGGACATGGAAGAATTAACTGTAGGGAGGCTGGTTACAAGATGGCTCCAGTAATCTAGATAGAGATGATGAGAACTTGAGCTAAGATAGTATTGGTAGGGAAGGAGAAGAGGCTCTGAATTAGAGATATTTCTAAGGTAGACATAAGGCTGTGTCATCCAGCTGGCTGCGGAAGCTGATGGCCAGCAGAGGGTTAAGCATAAGCACGCCCAGTTTTTCTGTTGAGAGTCTGATGGATTGTGACACCATTAAACGGAGTAAGAAACTGAACTTTGAAAGCAACCAGAAGAAAGGTCCATTCGAGGGGCATAAGTTTTGAAATGTGTGGAATATATCCAGGCTGAAACGTCTGCTAGGAAGTTGTAAACACATCTTTAAAGCTTGTCAGCAAAATCAGACAAGAAAATATTGCTTTGGAGTCATCAGAGTGCAGCTGGGAACTGAATACAATGGAAGAAAGTGGCTGACAATCAGCTGAAGGTGGGGACTGACAAAAGTTGTAAGCTGTGTAGTGATGCAAGTTATAAAGCTTGGTCATCAAAAATTAAGCATCAAACCTATACAAAATATCTGACACGGAGCCCGTTTCCAAACTTTCCTCGTATGGTTCTGTCAAATTTATCTTCTTTTAATTGAAGAAATAATTTAATACTATCTTTTGCACCCAATATATTTTAACGTTCTATGTTTACAATAGTATATTTTAATGTTATGTTATTAGTATTTTAATAATATACTAGTTAAACAATTTATTAACAAAAACATACATGGGTACGATCACCTACTGTGAAATCTTCTATCCAAGCACTTATCACACTGAATTAAAATACTTGATTTACTTATGCATCTCCTCCTGTAGACTTTGAGCTCCTGAGACAGTGGTGATGCCTCACTCAATTTTCTATCTCAAGGCTTTGTCACAGCACATGGCACAGAGTGGGAACTTTGTTATGTATTGGATGGATGGATGGACAGATGGATGGATGGATGGATGGATGGATGGATGGATGGATGGATGGATGGATGGATGGATGGAGCAAGCTCAGAACTGGAGACTGTTTTTCCAACTTAACCTGTTACAATTTACTTACTGATTAAAACATTCTCTGCCATGAGGAAAGAACGCTACATCCAGGACCACCATGGAGAGTTTCACAGATTGTTCACTGCACAAGGTGGCAAGTGGGATTAAGTCAAGTTTACCACAAGGAAACCCACTGTACAAGTTAGTCACATGATGAAGAGAAAAGATGATGGAACAGGATGGCGGCAAGAGTAAAAACAGCTCAATGAAATGAGAACTCAAGAAGCTCTGCTCATTGAGTGTTTTTTAAATGGCTCCTAGAATTGTTTAGTGGGGGTTTATAAAATTCAAAAAAATGGTTTTTAAATTAAGCATAAGAAATTCTTAAACATAAGAAAACTCCCACAATCGAGAAATAACTGTATAGTTATCTTGTGTCCACAACTTATCTGCTCCTTCACATCAGCCCTGTACTATATGCAGAAGGAAGAAAGCTCAGAAATATGAGGGGTGTATGTCCAGCAAGGTCTGGATAGGTAGGACATTCTGATAGACTTGAACTGACTTATCTCACCCCAAAGTTTTCTTCCAACCAGCAACAGAAGCTTCATATATATATTATACATATATATATATAACACGTATACATGCATATACATATATACACACATATGTGTATATATGTGTTTGTGTATATATACATATGAACAAATGATAAAATTAAACTTTTTAAAAAAAATACAAGAAGAAGAAGAAAGAAAACTGGAAGTTTTCATACAAAATACGTATTAAAATCAATAAATTCCTGTAAAAAAATCAAATAAATGTAATAATTGACCTTATAATCATAATTGAGACTTACAGAAGCTTTACCAGCATCTAAATTTTTCTATAATAAAATACCACATGCTTGTGTAAAACATCATTAAATGTTCAGGCTTAACTGTAAGTATACAAATAATAATAATAATACCAGTTGCTTGGAAAAATTCAGTATTTTATTGCTAATGGAAAGTTCCAAGGAATGAAGAAAATTGCAGGCTTTTGTTTTTGAAAACCTACAAGTTAAAAATAGAAACCTCTTCCAAATATCAGAGTACAGTGCTCTATGCTCTGCAAAAAACCAACTCAAAGGGAAACGTGGTAAGATGTGATACTGGCAGCTGCCATTTCACACTCCTCTTTGTCAAGAAATGTCATAACCTTTCAGCTACTCCAGCCAAGGCAGCACTTTCTTTCTTAACTCCAGGTTTTACTGAACTTTTAAAGCAAGCAGAGTTGTTTTTCCTTCGTGATAACATCAAAACCCAGGAGATTTCAAACGTACATGTGGAAAAACGTTCACCCCCCAGATCATGACTTTCCTGCTCTCAAACTGGCCCTCGGGGAGGACAAGAAAGATGGGTAGCTTTGCCATGGCAGAACTAGCTGATGATATGCAAATGTCCCCCGGTGCCCTACAATATCAGGCTCAATTTTCATCTGGCCATTTAACCAGACACTTTAGAGAGGGTCCCCCACAGAGTGCCTGGAAACCTCAGGAATCAAGACCCCAGGAGGGGCAGCCTGCGGCATGCAAACGGCTGCAGCTCACTCTACGCCAAGGACACAGCGTCCCCTGGAGTAGAGCCCAGGCATCTTCATTTTTAACCAGTTCAATGGTGACTGAACATTTAGTGAAGTATGCAGTCGGCTGCTTTCGAGATTGCTTTCGAGAATCTGGAACCTCTGCAACATAAGCATTTCATCTCTAGGTGGCAGCATCTGTGAATGGTTGAGTGGCGCTGTGAATGTTGAGTGTCAACATGCAAAGACTGATTTCCAGAACAGGAATTACACCTTGGATTTGGCCGACTAAACCATTATCACTAAGTGCTGTATGTATAAAAGACAAACGCAGCAGGACACATTTTACATAACTGAAACCTCCAACTCGGAGTAATTACAAAAACAATTAACTGGGTCTCCTTGCATAGATAAAACTTTCTGTGACTCATTTAAAGTGCAATCAATTTGAAGGCAAGATGTTGTAAGCGGTTTTCTTGCCCTGATTGTTTAAGTCACAACTCCTGAGGATCACACAGGTCGGCAGTCAGCAAACACTTTCTGCAAAGGGCCAGACAGTAAATATTTTAGGCTTTGCAGGTCATGTGGTCTCTGTTACAATTACTCAACTCTGCCACTGTCACAACAAAGCAACCATAGACAATACAAAAACATATGAATGACTGTGGCTGTGTCCCAATAAAACTTTATATATGAATACTAAAACTTCAATTTCATGTAACTTTCATGTCTCAAAATATTATTGCTCTCTTCATTTTTTCCAACTGTATGGTCTGAATGTTTGTGTCCACCCCTGACCTCCAGAAATATGTTGAAATCCTAATGCTCAATGTGATGGTATTAGGAGGTGAGTCCCCTGGGAGGTGCTTAGGTCATGAGGGTGGAGCCCTCATGAATGGGATTAGTGTGCTTATAAAAGACCCCAGAGAGCTCCCTCACCCCTGCTGCCATGTGAGAAGACAATGAGAAGTCTGAGACCCAGAAGAGGGTCCTCATCCACCCATGCTGGCACCCCAGCCTCAGGTTTCCAGCCTCCAGAACTGTGAGAAATAAATATCTGTTGTTTATGCATATAAATGACCCCGTCTGCAGGCTTTTGTTAGAGCAGCCTGAATAGACTAAAACACCAATAATGTTTACAAAGTAAAAACTATTCTTAGTTCTTGGGCGGAACTAATCAGGCCAGATCTGGCCCACGGGCAGTGGTCTGCAGACCCCTGACATAGATGGAATTGGAGGAGTAATATGAATGGGCAGCCATGCAGGCATTCAAAATGACTTTCTGATGACTTTTTTTGAATACAAGAGTTTAGTTCAAGACAGATGCCTTATTACTTAGTAGAGGATTAAAGAAATTAAACAAACCCACAAAAAATCATACGACAAAACTTAGAATTCTGATTCAGGGGTTCATTTCCAGATGATCATTTTACTAAATAGAACTAGATCAAATATAGACTTCGGTCAACTGTTTCTAAATACATCCAACCTTCCTTCTGGCAAAGCTGAGCTAGTCATGTGAAGCAATGGTTGGCGTCCGTACCATCACACAAGCAGAAACCCAGATGCAAGCTGGTCAGCAGGCAAATGTGTGAACCTTCAATAGACTGAGTCCGGAATCTCTAACAGGAAGCCAACAATGTTACCTGTCGTGTCTTGACTCAAGGTTTCCTGGCTGCTGCTGCTGTAAGAAGGCACTGGAGTGATGGAGAGCGAGGCTGGGCAAGACAAAGGCGTGGCCAGCTCCGTCTTGCGAGGGAGGGAATGGTGGTACCCGGGGATGCCTGCATCTTTGGAGACGAAGAGTGGCAGGTCTGATGGGAGGCAGGGTCCGCCTTGCACATACGGATTTTTCCAGTGGGTGAGCCCAATTGCGACAGGCCCAGCAACGTCATAACCTGGTGAGACAAACACATTAGGTCAGAAGCAGCAATCAAAGCCTTACACTACAGTGGTTTTTATATTTCCCAAGTGTCTTATCTGTGAGTCAAATCGAACGCCACTTGAGAGAAGGACGCATGTTACTTGATGAATAAACAGACAGGCATCACCACACTTGATGGATCTTGTTCACCTACTCCACACACATTTATTAAGCACATACTATGTGCCAGGTGCCCAGTCTTTGCCCTTAAGGAGCTCGGCATCTAGTATAGGAGGTAAAACTTACATTCATAATGAAAAACTACCCAGAGGTCTACTATGTGCTCGATACTTTGCATAAGTGATTCTAATCCTCACAGCAATTATACAAGGGGACGATCACTATTTTAGTTTTATAGATGAGGAAATTAAATCTCAACTTGCCCCAGATCAAGAAGTCAGTAAGGGTCAGGAACAGAATCCGAGCCCAGGACTGACTGACTCCAAAATCTACATTTTTCCGCCTAAACTACAACTAACCTGAGTACAAAGCAAGATGAAAGAAAGTTTACAAGTAGGACAGAAAGTTCCCCCTGGAGAGAGAGCCCCTTTAGGTGGAATGACTAGATCATGAAAAAAGTGTCATGAACTTGACCTTATATAGGCAAGGGTCGCTACCTAGGGGCCAGAGGGTTGCAGTTGTTCCACAGATGTGTTTTTCATCCACGCTTTTCTTAATTTGAAATAAAAATCAAATCCACATTCACAGCAATAAAAATGCAGAGAAAAATCAGCTTTCTAGCTTCTCTTGAAAAATCCCTTGATGTTCTCCAAAAATCACGCAACACTGGAATACATCCCCATGTGGTGACTGTCGACTGGAGTAACTAACCATGGCAGCACCCTCTTGTGGTAAGTAAAGGGATTTACATTGTTACTTACTTCCCCAGCCTGCCACAAACCCCACCACTCCCTAATACTCCCAACCTCCTCACTAATTTGCCTTACATGCCTGATGTCAGCAGGCATTTGCATCTGCAACAGAGATCAGAATTTAGGAACAGAATATAAGTGTAGTCAAGAAAAAATAAATAAACAAGAATGGAAAGGTAGGTGAGTTCAAGACAGTTGAGGGTCTTAAATGCCAAGGTAAAAAAATTGGATTTTATTTGGCAGGTAAAACAATATACCAGAAAGTTTGTGAAGCAGGGACTGGAATAATCAAATTAATAGCAGCAAAAGTAGCCAGAATCTGTCCCTTCTTCCTCTGGGGTGCCTTCTTCTAGAAGGTCTTAACCACAGGGAAGGGAGGTCCAGTAAAAGATGCTGATGTGTGGGGACTGCAGGTTCCTCAGGGGGCATGAGGAACCAAGAAAGCCCAAAAGAGGTAACAAGAGAGACTGAACGACAGTGTCTGGGCAGCCCTCCCACACCATGCTAGAACCCTCTAGAACATGGATATGAGTCAAACGGCCCCTGCCCTTACTTTACAGCCAAGTGTTCATTCTCTCCATGTGTTTCTCCCTCAAGGTCAGAGGGTGACTCAGTCATCTCTGAATCTCGCTCCCAGTGTTTCTCTATCTGACTCTTTCCCTCACTCCTCTCCCACCAGTAGCGAGCACAACGCTAGCCTCAGAGCTGGCACTCAGCAGACACCCACTGTTAAGTGACTTCTCCGTAGATGCAAGAGGCTATGAAGTAGAGTTCAGGTGAGCGTTATTAAGAGGCCACATTTAAGCATGGGCAGCGAGAAAGGAAATGCGGGTCAGAGAGGTATGCAACACTGCCATGGAAAGAAAGGAGTCTGGGGCCGCCAGGTAGCTCTGTCTCTCACTGGCACGATGTCAGAGCAGACCTATGGCATCCAGAATGCGGGGTTTCCTCATCCTAACTGTGGCAGTCAGGACTGGCTTTACAAGGCCTGAGGAAGGTTGGCTGTGTTTTTAGACATGAAGAGTTGGAGCTTTAGGAGAAATATCTATGTGGAAATGTCTGGCAGGAGGCTGAAAAAAAACATGGAAATGAGAATCAGAAAAAATGGGACCATAGTCACAAATCTATTAGCCGTCCACGCAGAAGGCATGGCCCAAGCCTAGGAATGAACAACCGACTTCATTGTTATAAAATAACGAATCCACTGAAAATTACCAGATTGTCTAACGCTTACTGGCACTGTGCTAAGGGATCTACCAGCACCACCTGATTTAAACCTCACAATAACTCTGTCAGGCAGCTGCTATTATTCACACTGACAGATGAAGAAACGGAGGCTAAGGGGCACTGTTACTTCCCCAGGGTCAACAGCGACACAGAAACAACAGTCAAGATTCAAGCCCAGGCTCACTGAAGACAACTTGGGTGCTCTTGGACCACGGAGCCATCCTGCCTCGCTAAGAGAGTGGACGGCAAGGGGGATTCTGAGGGCTGGAAACCAGGCCTGTTTCCCCGCAAATCGCTCTTAGGTTCTTTCTTTCTTTCTGAACAATTTTTCATAGAGGGATCTCGATGGACCAGGATACTTGAGGAAAGGGAAATGCTGCACCACTTGAGAACATGCTGACTGGAGTGTGTGAATTTTTCTTGGTCGGTCACTTTCCTGAAAGGTAACCCAGCAGAATGCAGTGAAGGTGAGTGAAATCTTTCTTGAGCGAGGGTTATGGAGCCCCTAGAAATATTCAGCAAGCACACAAATTCTCAATGTTCAGAGCCGCAGAAGACTGAAGTGGATACCACTGACCCAGGACTGCCCCTAAGAGAGTCTGTTAGATTAATACAAATTTGTTTATTTTTTGCGATCAATATTCTCAGATGGCCCACAGCTACTAAGAGTGTACTGGGCCGTAGACATCAAATTCCAGAATGCTCCATTTAAATCGATGTCCCGTTATGTTTTTATTAAAAATTTCAAAACGCATTACCTTCTATTCACACCAGAGAACCCTTTTACAAGAAGAGTAATTACAGAACGATGTTTTCCCTTGCCTCGTTGCTTCATTCAGAAACTCACTTAAAGCCCTCTTCTCGTTCCATGTTCCCAAGCTCCTGGGGAGTCATTATACAGAATAGAGCACAGTGCGAAAGCACCATGTTTAACAGTCCCAAGGAACTCTGGACTTTCCACAAGTTCAGGTTTTACCATTTCTTTTATAAAATTGTAACTGATTTGTAGTGTATACTTAATTCTGAAAAGATATTGTTCGCACAGCTAGCAAGCACTTTTTTTGGTTTAGGAAATTACTACACCATTCACTCCATAAATGGAGTTCATTAGCAAATATTTTCATCTATGGTATTGACACAAATGAGCTATGATAAGATCTGCATAATTATGATGGAATATAAATGGACCAGCCTAAATTTCTAAGTGGCAATGAGGTCACAGTATTTTGAGAGAATAACCGACCATCCAAACCCAGGGGAACAGCTGGCATCCAAGTGTCCAGAGACAAGTAATAGAAATGTCACATTGGGGCCGGCCAAGTGGCGCGATGTTTAAGAACTGGCTTGGGATGCCAGAGGGCCCCGGTTTGGATCCCACATATGAGTGCCAGTGACACTGCCCCCCACAGCTAAGATGCTGAACAACAGCTCAACCTGGACCTGGGCTGCCGTGGGCTGCCATGAGTTGCCGGCGACAGCGTAGGCTGCAGCCCCTGCTGCAATGGGTTGCCATTGGCTACTGTGTGTAGCCAGCAGCCGCAGTGAGCGGCCGTCCAGAAGCCGGCGACTGATCTGCCTCGCCCAGGAAGAGCGCAATGATGGTGCCAACTTGGGCCAGTGAAGCAACGTCCTCCACAACTAGACTGAAGAACAAAAAGACAGCAACTTGTCTGTTCCCCTTTCCCCAATTCCCCACTGCTGTTCCCATCCCCGCAATTCCCCAATAAAAATCTTTAAAAAAAAGAAATGTCACATTGGTAGCCTGTCCATTCTCCCCCACCCACCATCCTGTCCCCACGTGGGGAGTGTGGGGGGGGAGGTCTCAGCTCTCTTTCAGTTCCATGTCAACACTATCACCCACTAGACCCAAAATCGTAAAGAGGGACATATATGGAACACTCAAAATTGCGGGCTGTTTTGACAAAATACGGTGTTAATTACCTCTGAAGTTCTTAGATCTCTCGAACGTGGGTAAGATGTGAGTTTACTAACAGAAAATCAGGAGTTATCCAAGGGTCTCATGGATAAATAGAAAGGTTTCAGAAAGAGTCATTTTTCTACTTCTTGAAATATTTTGGCAACTCTGCTTTAGGCAGGACATAGGTTTCTACCGGAACCACATGAATAGGAAACCCACAAGTGTGCTGTTTCATTAAATGGAATTCTCTCACAAATATGACACCTCTCCGTGAAATGACTACTCTGGAAGTAAAGGACTGAAGTGAAGAAAGTGAAAGCTGTTAAAACAGAAAGCCTTGGAGGATCCAGCAATCGGGCCTCCCTCCAGAACTTTGAGTCTAAGGCTGTTAATTATTTTCTGCTTTTACTATAAATATTGCAAAAGTGCTTTGTGCTGGGCAGACTATGGGCACTGGACACTGCCTGATGCCTGTGCAGAATCCATCCCCTCGTCTTCCTCCCAATAGAGTCTTATTTTGTGTGGGAATTCATCCCAACGCCACTCAGCCATGTGCCTCAGGGCAAGAGGACCTCATCCTCACCTCTCACCCCCTGGGCATGAAGGGTCTAAAGATAATCTCAGCTCCCTTGTCCATGATTGGCTCATGGATTGTCATGTGACCCAATCCCAACCAAGGGGATAGGAAAAGTCCCTGAGGCACTTCAGAGGAAAGCCTCTCTGTCCCATAAGTGAAAGCCTGAGGAAGAAACCAACCCTCCTTTCCCTCTGATCACCGTTGTGTCTACATGCAATTCCTGGAACCATGGCAGCCATCTGGCTGCCACCACGAAGATAAATTCTCTGAGCAAAGCGAAGGGTAGAAGGTCTTTCACAATATCATTGAAGAGCTTAATCAACCTGTTCTAAGAACAGGCCTGCCTCTGGTCTACCTGTTATGTGAAATAATGCCTTTCCTTATGGTTTCAGGCGTTTTGAGTCAGGGAGCTGAAGCAATATTCAAGGGCCTTTCAATTATACCATCGCCTTCTGAGAAAGCTAAGTGTCTGTCACACCCACCTCCCCTTCAGAGGGAACCTTATATGTCAGTAAGAAACTGTCATTTTAGTTTCCTAGGGCTGCTGTAACAAAGTACCACAAACTGGGTGGCTTAAAACAACAGAAATGTATACTCTCACAGTTTTGGAGCTAGAAGTATAAAATCAAGATGTTGGCAGGGCCAAGCTCTGTCTGAATTCCCTAGACAAGAATCTGTTCCATGCCCTTTTCTTAGCTTCTGATGTTGCTGACAATCCTTGGTGTTCTTTCACTCATAAACACATCACTCTAATCTCTGCTGCCATCATCACATGGTATCTCCCTTTATGTCTCCATATCTCTTCTTATAAAGACACCAGTCATATTGGATTTGGTCCCACATAATCGAGTATGACCTCATCTTAACTTGATTCCATCTGCAAAGACCCTATTTCCAAGTAAGGTCAAATTCACAGGTACCAGAGGTTAGGACTTCAACATATCTCTTTGGGGACACAACTCAAACTATAATACCCTGACATGGTGGCTGCGGCTAACTAGACCAGGGGAGGGCACCTGGCGAGCTAGTCTGCAAGATGGCAAGTGACAAAAGTATTGTCCAGCGGGAGACAGAGTACCTGGGTTCAAATCCTAGTTCTTGCTACTCACGTAGCCTTAGGTAACTTTTTTAATCTCGAGAGAATTTAATTTCATTGGTAACATGGGGACAATAACAGTATCTATCTCCTAGGATGGCTATGAGGATTAAATGAGTAAACAGGGAAACAATACCTAGAACAGCACCTGGCACAGAGAAACCTCCCCAAGAGTGGTAGCTACCACATGTTCCTCACCATCTCCCCCTCCACTTTCACTGGTATCTTCAAAAGAAGTCTCTACGCAGCTCATCACGCCTTCTTCAGAGCTTTGCAACCTGGCTCCCACCCCACCATCCACTGACATGGCTCTCGGGATGTCACCAGAGCAGACTTTAACTTTAACTCTCCTCGGTCTTCCCTTCTAGAAATTCTTTGGGCTTTCTGAAAAATATGCTCATTTCTACCTGTCATTATTTCCACTCTAATTGTGCTTCCAAAAAAAAAATTGGTCCTGGGCCCTCAGTGTTATCTTCAGATATTGCCAATTCCCTCCACATTTCCAGTTTCCTGTGGGGCATTTTAATGTGGGGGCAGTTTCATGGGCCCCTCAAGCCCAACACATCTAATCCATAGCCATCCTCTGTCTAACTTCTATATTTCAAGGAATGGTTCACTCTCTGTCACTCTGATTCAAAAATCTCAGGGCACACTTATTTGTCTTTTCCCATATCCAGTCAATGACTAGTCCTGCCAGCTCTTCCATGCCTCCCACTCCAGACCTACTTTTATCCCACTCCCAAGGTCATTACTGGCTCACATCAAGACTACAGTCACAGCTACTTACTCTGTTATGACGCCATACTCTCCCACATGAAATCCATCCTGTTCACCACCAGAGTAACCTTCTTTCATCCATGGGCTCATCTTGTCACTCTACTACTCTGAACACTAAATGACCCCCAGTGCTTAACAAACGTCTTGAGGAATGACATTTTAGGTTATTTCGTGTTGTCAAATCAGGGTCCATGAGCGCACCACAAAGATTTTTTAATTGTTTTTATTTTTCATTTAAAAGTTAATTTGATCCCCTAAATATGAACAGACTCGTATTGTGAACCAGATTCTGCCACTTAATTTTAGTGCCTGGGTTTGCTTTTGTGTTTCCATCAAGTTGGCACCAATCAGTACACTTAATGAGAAAAGGAGAGGGATACGTCCACATACAGTCATTCAAAGGAGGAGCCAACAACCTCACTGGAGTGAGCATTAACAGATTTCACAGTGGGCTGAACAGAGAGAGGGGTGGCAATGCAGAGTTACCATACAACGCCTAGGAGTAAAGCTGTCTGAACTGCACCACTGCTGCCAGTACCACGGTGCATACAAGCCATGACTGCATTCTAGCAAAATGACAACGTATAGCATAGTCAAGTCATGGGGTACATGCGTACTTTTTTGCTTCCTAGAATTTTAAATTTTATTTGTATATTTGACTTTTTATTGCTATCTGGAATATAGGAACATACTTAGTTTAATGTTGGAACATACTTTAGTGTCCTTATAATAAAAATAATTTCAATCCATCTTACAGGTTCATAACTATGTTTTGTAGGGGTCCACACTGCTGGGGTTTGAGAAACCATAAGACAGTGTTTAAGAGCATGAGCTTTAGTGTCAAGCCGACCTGGACTGACATCCTGGGCATGTTCATTTCTAGCCAGGTGGCAAAGAGCAAGTTTCCTCATCTGTAAATAGGAAAGAAACAGTGCCTTCTCATAAAGTACTGATTAAGTAAAACACTGTATGTCACGGGCCAAGGGCAGCTGGCAAATAAGAAGAACAAAATAAATGTGACCTGCAATTATCATCAGTTTTTCCTTCTAACTCAGTGGCCATGATTTTGGAACCAAGAAAATTTTGAAAGGAAGGGGAAGGGAGAAGGATTCAGGAAACTGAAAAGTAATCAGGGTCACTCTGCCCTTTTTGACCAAAATAAAACATGTTTAAGGCTGATTAGGAAGACAGGTGGGAGAGGGTGGCGGGTGAGCAGGAAATGTCCTACCATCTCCTGGTGGTGACAGCAGAGGGGGTCCCTTCACTGAGGAGGGGAGAGAGATAGAAAACAACACCCCCCAAGCTGCAGGCCTCAAGTTTCTAAGAAGTCAGGGGACAAGGTGGCTGGTACACACAAGAGTCCTCAAAGCGTAGCTAGCATTCAACAGCATGGATTTGCTGTTATGGTGTGCACGCATGCATCCTTCTCATTTCTCATGTATCGTATGCATACATCTCATACCTACTTACGGGAAACAACATGTGTTTTCTATTTACAGTGGCGATATACAATATATTGTTAACTTGCATGAATAGAAATCTTTAAAAGTCATTTTTAATATTAAGTACACAATCATACAGGTGATACCCAAATGAAAAAGTTAAAGCAAATGACGAAAAGTTGGGCAAGCCAAGATTTTTTAAATCTCTGGACCACATTACTTCCATCCATTTCTATGCAAAAGCAATAAGGCGCCCCACAAGAGGGCGCCCCAGCAAGGTGAATTCACAAGCAATGGCTCTGATCCTGAAAACACACGCTCATGTTATTGCATTTTCTTCCTTAGCCCTACTCCCACCCACCCCACCAGACTTTCCAGGCAATAATCATTTTTATAAAACCAAGTGACACAATTGCTCACCTATGGTGATCTGGCTGACACAACTGTAGTAGCTGCCTGTCGTTGCACTGGAAAGGTTATAACTCCCACTGCTCACATCTTTGTCTGTGAAGAAAATAAAAGAGAGGAAGGTCACTTACATTCTGGGAGACACCATGACCACGATGTAACCTATGACTGCTAGTAAATAAGCCAGCATTCTGGGTCTGCCCAGACTCAGTCTCATCCATTCATGGATGCTCAGGGAGTACTAGGTGCCAGGCACATGGAACATTTCAACAAACCACCCAGGCTGCCCACACAGACAATTTCCACTCAATGTCACTGCTATTATAATTGGGGGAGGGGGGCTTGAAGAGTTCTGGGGGAGAGGGGTGTGCAGAGGCAGGTGAGAGGACACCTGATCAGGACTAGAGGGTATCAGGTAAGGCTTCCTAGAGGAAGTGACATCTAAACAAAAACCTAAATGTGAACTCTATCTGACTAGGCGAAGGGGGATGAACTGCGGGAAAAGATCCAGCCTGCAGTTATCATGGCTGGAGGCTCAGAGGCCACCAACAGCCTTGTGAGTTAGCAGCTGAACGCAGTAAGGAGAAGTGGGCAGCAGGCAGGCCACAAAGGGTGTTGTAAACCACATTCAAGGCTAAAAGTACAACACACTGCATGGAATTCCTCACTATTGTGAACAGGAAATGTTCTAGACAGAAGGGGCAAAAGAAAGACAAACTTCACAGTTACATAGCATCTTAGCGTTTTCACCCACATCATCTCATGCATGCGGTAACATAGGGCAGGCCTCACCCCACGTGTCTGATAGAAAGGCTGAGACTCAGAGTGGCTGAGAGACTTGCCCAAGGTCACACGACAGCATGTGGCAGAACAGAGCACAAATCAAGATGAGAGCGGCTTCAAATTGTTTATAAAGCACGGTAGAGCATCCATGACTGATTTTAAGATAGCCAAGTAAATACATATTGTCTAACATCAAACACTACAGGTTAGAGACAAGAGTCATTATAGTAATGGTTGCAAAACTGGCGTGATGGACATAGCTGAATATTTTATGTTATGTGATACTAGGAAGACTTCGAAACCCTGATCTACAATGGTGAAAATTATAGAGGAGGGGAAAACATAATTATTAACAATTAGTCAAATCCAGTCAAAGAAAGGGGGTTTCTGGAAACATGGGGATTTTAATGAGAGTCATGGGGATTGGTAGAGAAGATGGTTTTACAGGTGAACATTCTTAGGAAGAAAGAGCTGGCGGCACCGGGTCAGAGAGGGCAGGAAATAAGAGTCATTCGCAGGGAGTGTCTCTATGTGCTTGGGCTGGAAAGTACTGACACAAGCAGGTAACGAACCAGAGGGCGGAGAACAGTGGTGACCCTCAGAGGCCACACGGAGGCCACAGCAGGTCCACAAACAGGGAGATAAAATGCAAAAAAAAAAAAAGTTTACAACTATTTTAACATGGGGAAAAATGATCCTAGCAAGTGAAAGTGGCCAATTCCTCTTCTAAGAAATATTCCCAGGCCATCTCCACTGTCTAGGGTGCTTCCTGAGTAAAAGGCACACCCCCAGCAGAGATGAGCAGGTGAGACTGTACAGGCACACCTCAGAGATGTTGTGGGTTCGGATCCAGACCACCACAGTAAAGTGAATAGCACAATAAAGCAAGTCACATGAATTTTTTGGGTTTCCCAGTGCATATGAAAGTTATGTTCACAGTATACTGTAGCCTATTACGTGTGCAATAGCATTATGTCTAAAAAACAATGTCTTAAATAAAGAAATACTTTATTGCTAAAAAATGCTAACCAACAACTGAGCCTGTTGGAAAAAATGGTGCAGTTGGACTTGTTCCATGCAGGGTTGCCACAAACTTTCAAGTTGTAAAAAACACAGTATATATAAATAAATGAGGTGGGCCGGCACAGGTTTCCCCTGCTATTCGAAAGTAGAGAATGCCTATGAAACTTTTCATAAGCCAAAATGGCACAAAGCAAAAAAGCAATTACCATAAATTTAAAGGCAAAAATTCTCTTCAGATTTCTTTTGGTTAGCGAAAACAGGTACTAATGTAGATCTTTCATAAAAGTAAAGTGGTGTAATGCAAACCTTTGAAAAGGGGAGGAGGGGGACCTTACTGGTTTACATGTATTCTAAACCATGAACTTGTCAAGGTGTTATGCCAACCCAGGTGTTACTCAATTCTGTAATTTCCAGAGCTTAGTGCTGTGTCTGGCATAAGGCAAATGCTCAATATATGTTCACTGACTGAAAGAAAGAAAAAAGGAATGCATAAAATTAAAGAAAGAATAAACAAATGATCATTTCCCTTTCCTGTTAGTTATAACTTCATTAGAGGTTAGTGTGATCAGAGAATGAGCATATGGAGCTGGGAGTCAGCCGACCTGGGTTTGAAGTTCACTTGTGTTACGTATAATCGCTGAACTTGGGCAAACTTTTGACTTCCTTTAATATTGTTTTTTCCACCTGAAAATGGTGACAATAATGATTATCTAACTTTTGGGGGGGCAGAAGAATGGGGTATGTTTAATAGAAATAATCAGCTATACAAAGCTATACAAAATTCATAGTTAGCAAATAATTCAGCAAATATTTTGGAGTCGGCTGAATCAACAAAACCCAGACCTAAGACATATCAAACTACTCTAACTATTCTAAAGTTGTCACTCCTAATTCTTTTGAAACAATTTATTCATGATCTCTCCTGAAAAGATTCTGGAATGGAGGAGACCTTCAAGGGACAAGATCAATGCATCAAAGGTGGAAAGAGAGGAAAAGGAGAGGGAGAGAGAGAGCAAGGAAGGGAGAGAGAGGGGGGGGTTCCCAAGCACAGAAATGCCTATGAATAGGGAGAAGAATAGAAATGAAGGAGGAAAACATACTGAGGAATTGGTAATCAACATAAAAGCAGAATGCTTCAATTAGGAATTAATGCCTGGGAAGATGCTGTGAATAAATTTAAATGGTGAAACTATTGAAATATGAATCATATGGGCCTGCTGAGTAGCGCAATGGTTAAGAACTGGCTTGGGACGCCAGAGGGCCCCGGTTCGGATCCCACATATGAGGCCAGTGACACTGCCCTCCACAGCTAAGATGCTGAACAACAGCTCAACCTGGAGCTGGGCTGCTGTGAGTCACCGGTGACGGCGTAGGCTGCAGCCCCTGCTGCAGTGGGTTGACATGGGCTACCGTGTGTAGCCAGCAACCAGCGTGAGCGGCCAGCAGCCACAGTGAGCAGCCGTCCAGAAGCCGGCGACTGATCTGCCTCGCCCGGGAAGAGCGCAATGATGGTGCCAACTTGGGCCAGTGAAGCAACGTCCTCCACAACTAGACTGAAGAACAAAAGGACAGCAACTTGTCTGTTCCCCTTCCCCCAATTCCCCAGCACTGTTCCCATCCCCCAATACCCCAACAGAAATCTTAAAAAAAAGAAAAAAGAAATATGAATCATATGATGAGATGTGATCAAAATATACAGTGAATATTTTAATTTTAAAAAATTTAATACAGTAAAAGACACAAGGCCATTAATTCCCCCTTGAAATACTCCCCCGAACTTCAAGCACACTTATCCCATCATTCTTGCCACTTTCTGAAGCAGTTCTGGAAGTCCTCTTTTGTGACTGTCTTTAGTTGCACTGTCATGGCTGCCTCGATGTCCTGAATCAATTCAAAACGTTTACCTTTCATGGTCATTTTGACTTTGATGAAGAGCTAGAAGTTGCACAGTGCCAGATCCGGTGAATAAGGTGGATGGGGATTCACCGTAATGTTTTTATTGGACAGAAATTGCCATATACCAGAAGTGATGTGTGACATGGAGCCTTTCCATTGTGATCACAAAATACGGTGAATGCTGCTGCCAAGTGCCATCCAACAGAAAGGCAGGGATCTTCAATACGGGAAGCGGTGCATTGAATCTTAGTAACAGTGTGTGACAAGTTTTAACTTGTTTGGTGCAGTCAGTAGGGTGTGAGCTACGGTTGACTGAAGGTGTGTTTTAAAGTGTGCCGTAAATCAGGGATCACAAACAACACATTAACATGAAATGGGCAAATGATTTCATTCTCGATCATGACCATGATCCGTGTCACACATCGCTTCTGGCATGGCAATTTCTGTGAAATAAAAACATTACAGTGTGTCCTCATCCACCTTATTCACCAGATCTGGCACCATGTGACTTCTGTCTCTTCCCCAAAGTCAAAATGACCATAAAAGGCAAATGTTTTGAATTGATTCAGAACTGCTTCAGAAAGTGGCAAGAATGATGGGATAAATGTGTTTGAAGTGAAGGGGAGTATTTTGAGGGGGATTAATGGCAATGTGTCTTTTACTGTTATAATTTTTTTATTACATTCATTGTATCTTTTGATCAACCTCGCATATAAATAAAACTAGGGTGTAATGTTGGTGGCAACATTTCAAAAAGACTCAAAGAGCAAAAGTATAAAGACGAGATAATTACGGTACATGGTGACTCTGTATAAAGGAAGGAGTTTCTCCGAAACAGGAATTAAAACAAAAATGCTAAATTTTATGGGAGGACCTGAATATCCATTTAACCCTTTAGGAACCAACTGGAGTTAAATTTTTTTTAAATCAGGTAACTAGTGGAAAAACTTGAGATTATGAGATTAATAAACTTCATAAATTCTAGAGTCAGTATAGATTAGATACCTGGTTCCAACCTTGGGCACATTATTTTATCTCCATTTGGAGATAATGTGGGAATAATAAAGGCCCTTCCCTTATAAGGCAGCATATAGATAGTGTCCAATTAATGCTAGCTGTTATTTTTATTTTAAATTTTAAAAGTCCAAGGATATCCCTAAAATGGAATACCATACAGCAAAGAAAATGAAGTAAAGCTACACAAAATATTATGAACGGATCTCACAATCATAATGTTGAATGAAAGAAGCAACACTAAATAATACATGATTCTATTTATGAAAATTTCACAAAACTAAATTATATTGTTTACAGATGCCTACACGGATGTTAAAAATGTAAAGAAAAGTAACACAATAATTAGCACAAAAGTCAGAGAGGTGGTTCCATTTGGT